TCCTGTTCAAATATCCATTAAGAGGCAAACTATTCACAGTGTTAGTACTGTCTGTGAATTATCAAGTGTTTTTAACTTCTGTATATATTATAATAAATAGTAAGTGCTTTATTAACAGACACAGAAATAAAAAAGAAATTGATATTTCTTTTTTATTTCTTTATAATTTATTTTTTTTAATTCTTTTTTACTTCTTTATAATTTATTTCTTTTTTATTTCTTTATAATTTTTGCAAAAAATTATAATTAAAACGCAAAAAATTATAAATAAAAAAAAATTGATATTTCTTTTTTATTTATAATTTTTAAAATTTGTTCCAAATATGTAAAACACTTGGAATGAGTGCTGACTTATTGGTATTTAGTTTGTGTTTTATTACATATAATGCAGTGTAATTAAGTCAGCATAAGTGGAGGCTGTTTAATTTTTAAACCATATCGTTGTTGCTAGCTTTTATCATCATTCCTGTGTCTGTTAAAGTCATTATAAATATCAAGATACTTGGATGTGCTGCTGTGGGATGCTCTAATTCGGCAAAATAAGTTTTTTTTAATAAAACAGTTTCCAGAGGATCCAAAAATGTACAAGGAATGGCATATAAAAATGAGGAGGGACAAGTGGAAACCAACTGATATGATAGTTCCTGCTTGAGTGAAGTAAGTGTTGTATGTCATAAAACTGTAACTGCATAAAAATTATTAATCATTTTAGGTTCATTTTGCTCCAGAAATATGGGAGAAGACATGTGCCGATGGCACACGAAAATTAAAAGCCAATGTTCCACAATATTTTGTTTTACCTTTATATTCCTAAGAGGAAACCCCTTGCTGGTATGAATAAAACAGAAAAGTCCAAGTAAGGAAGAAGGTATATATTTGAAATAAGAGTATCATAACGGTTCTAAAATTTATATTAGAATGTTCTTAGATTAATCTTATAAACATTCAACAGTTAACTATTTAATTTTAAATCTCAAGGAGAAACAAAGAAGCATCAGGTTATATTGCAACCTTATCCGAACTGGTATGCGTTGAAACAGCCAGAGAAGAAACTGCAATCAGATACTAGTGTTGGAATGTAGGAAAGAGAATATATCGACAAAATTTTAAAAATGGTCCAATTTATATATTTTATATATGTATTTACTGATGTTCCACATTTATTTAAAAATATAAAGGCAGTCAGACAAGGCAATGTTGATGAACAACAAAATCATTAGAATATCTAATGATACAAAAGAAAAAAAAATGGATTTCCATCAAATGAAATTTTGTCAAGTCACATAATTGAGTTACTGGAGCCCCAAAATTACTACTCAGTCATTTTAAACTAGTATCATCAATATCATCAATCGCAGTGTCAGTAGTACCCTAAAGTATCTGTCAAATAAGTTAGAACATGGTTTCTGGATAAAATTGAGAAATGGTTTTATCTAGTGACATCCAGGCACCTTTCTAATGCCTCGAGTAAACTGAATTCTACAGTTTACAGTGAAAAAATAGAGTTTCTTAAGAGTTTTATGGACTTATTTCAGAGTAGAAGTGGCAGTCTAACTAGAAGCCAGTACAAACTGGAGTTTTAATTTCAACACAATCAATGTTAGAAGTATTATACATGCTATTCCTATTGAAGAGAAGCAATATGATTTTGTACTAGCAAGTAAATTCTCTCAAGATTGTTTAGAGAACCTTTTTCTAGGTATTAAGAAGCAAGCAAATTGTTCCAAATGCCCTGCACATAAAAAAAACAATTCGAAATTAATTTGTGCATCCCAGTTTTTAAAACATCCAACTAGTAGTAGCTATGAAGAAGATGAAAGAGAACTTCTATAAAGTTTTTAGAAACTGCAAGAATCAAAAAACCAATATGATAGCGTTCAACTCCTTCCAAAGATTCCAGAACCCAAAATGAATTGAGTTATAGTGAAATTAATTCATTATATTGTTTCAAGCATTCGAGTTTTTGAAGTCACGTGAAAACTGTATATCTGCACTTGGATCTAAAAGCACCAATTTACCAAACTTTCACGCACTTCATCTTAATTAAGTGTTTCAATGATAACACATTTCTTTTACTTTCCCGACTGTTATAACAGAGCAAAAGTATGGCAATCAGACAAAAAATGACTCTCAGATTTTTTACATTTTTGGAGTAAGGACACCTTGAAACATCGAGAAACGCAAAAAAAAATTCATGAGTTTTTTCTATATGTATGGATGTTAGCACGTGTGTGGTGCGATTTTGTTCACTCTCTTTGAAGCTTAATAACTCTTGTGTTTTTTTATCGAAAATTTCTGAAATTTAGCGGGGAGGTTTGTTTATTAGAGGGAGTGATGCTAGTAAATTTTGGTGATTAAAGGCTGAGGAGGTGGGGAGATAATGGGGGTCATGTGCTTCACGTCCAAAAGGATCATATAAAGGACATGTTTATCAAACACTTTTTACAGATATTACAAGACGTTTTAATATTTCAATAAGTGCTTGACAGGGTAATTATGTAACATCACGTATCGTCTAGATATTGTGAGAGTAACACAGTGCACATAGCTCATTTTTAAGATATCTTAATATCTCATGGTTTGCCATAATTAGCGAACAAATATATTGTAACCCAAAGCAGGTCTATGACGTAGATCAAAAGCATTTGTTTTATCTAAACTATCATCAGTCTGCTCGGAGAATTTCGAGGTTCGAGTTTTTATCTGTATATTCATTTTACATTGATTAATAAAATAATTGGCACTTAAATGTATGAGAAATAAATTTTAGTCTTGCATCAACGGTACGTAATCCTATGGGTAAAAAGAACAATTATCCGGGGCTCCAAACCAATCTTTTATAAGAAAATTTCCCCCTGAAGAAAAATGTCCAAAATCAACACTATGCATGGGGCCCCCTAACTCAAATTTGTCTGGGTCTCACAAAGATATAATGTGCCACTGTCTTAAATTACATTGGAACCAATCTGCCACATAAATTGAGAGTTAAATGCATGGACTTTTAAAATACCAAAATTATTTTTGTAAAAAGAAAATTGGAAAGTTATATTTACCTCTTTTCTTTTGTTCCATTATGAGGTTGAACTGTTTTAGGAATTTTAGTTTCTGTAAAAGAAAATAACCATTTTACTTTAAATGCATTTTTTAAAACCTCAGTTTTATAATTCATTATCAAATTTACAGCTTTCAAAAATGCAACTTTTATCTCTGAATAATATATTCTTAATCTCAGATACATTCATTCTATGGTTTGAATGAATTAAAACTCGATACATTCTTTAAAATATACGTAAGAAATTTAAAATGCATAAAACAATAAAAATCTATCTTTTTGATAAAGATTTAATATAATTATTTGTAAACTTTAAGAGTTATCGAGATGTCTTTTTATAACTTCTTGTGATAAAAAGTAATTTTAGATTTAAATTTATGATAAAGGAATTTTTTTAAAACTGTTCTGTCAAGCAGAATCAAAAGTATTCATACTTCAATGGCTTTCTTAATTTGCAAGAAGAATTTTTATACTTAAATATTCCGATTTAATATAACTGAACCAGCAATTGTTTGGCTTTAATATAGTTATTGGACTTATGGACATTTATATTTATGAAGTTATGAAGTTTAATTATAGAGGAACGATAATTCTTTTATAATTAAACTTTACACTTACTCATTGTAGAATAAATTTGGTTTATTTGCATCTATATGACATGTAAAACAGAACGTTCCTTTCACATAATTTATTTAAAATCATTACAGTTTTCTCTGGTAATGTATATATAAATATCACTTCTAAAAGAAATAAATATAGTTTAAATAAATAAAATAAATTACCTTTGGTGAAAAATCAAGAGGAAGTGGTGGCCCTTTTAGAATAATATGTAAAAAGTTGTATTTTTTCCCTTCTTCGATGTCACTATCTTCATCACTATAATCGTAATTCTTATTCTTCATTTTCCATTCCTCCAAATCCAATTTACTTATAATCCTAGAAGGTTGTTCATGTAATTGATAATTGTCTGTATTTTGTACACAGTTTGTTAGAGGAGTTTCCATTCTTTTTGCAAAATTTGTCAATTCCAAAGGTTGCGCCTTCTTCTCTAAACTATTTGAGTTCACATCTTTACTCAAATCGTGTATTTGTTCATCTGCTTGTAATTTGTCTTGTGAATTATACTCTTTATCAAAATTTAAGGTGTCATGATAATTTTTTTGATAAGGTGTACTGAAGCCATTTTTATCGAAAACTGCAAAATTAGAACTATTAGTGTTGTTATTTAAGACCTGTTTTGCATTCTTAACCTTTTTGTATTGCGATAAATTAATGCTGTCGCCGGACAAGTCAGTAACTTTGTTCTGTAACAAAAAAACAAGACAACGAATTAGTCTCGAATTTTACATCAACTTTTTTTTTAATTAAAATACATTGCAGACCAAATTTAACAAGGGAAACAATATCTGGTTGCATTATAAAGGCACGTTTACAGCAGAATTGTCATTGATTCAAATCATCTGACTATTTTCCAAAGGACTGATGGCAAAAAGATAAATCATATACACTCATATAATGAAATGGTATGAGCATTGACCAATAAGACATTATGTCTTATGTGCAAACAAAAATCAAGATATAGTTTTCTTATTTGATAGTATGTGAAACTAATATACATGGAAGAATTTCTTTCATTGACTATGGCTTTATTTATATCTTCACCAGTCGGCTGATCTTGTAAAAGCAGTCATTCCAATGATAAGTTTGATGAATCAAAATCATTCTCACACCTCTCTTGTCTACTATCGTTATTGATGTGTGGTTCACTTGTTTCACGCAGCATTTGTGACTTGTGATATGAATCTACAAATCTACATTAAGGAAGCTTGCATTATACTATATCAAGCTTGTAAGACATACAACTTGAGAGTCAATCTTGGACATTGTATCAAGCTGTGCTATATTGGGTCTACAGTGTATTAAAAATAAACAATTTTATTATTTTTCTTATTAAAATATACTAACCTCTAGTTGTTCTGGATAGTTATTTTCTACTTTTTTGAAATTTGAAATATCCGAATAACCGAAGTGACTAGTATTTTGTTCGCTTTCCAATTTCGGCCGAACTGTCAAATTCAATAAGGCAGTATGGCTTCCAGACGACATAGAAGATTTACATTCCTGATTTTGAAGACTGTCGTTTGTATTCAAATCTCTTCTTTTATCTTAATATAAAAAGACATATTTAATTATATCTTACAAATAAGAAAAATCATTATAAATGAATGGAATTAAAACAGCTTGAAATAAATTAAGTAACAAAATAGAATTGTTATTCAGAAATTGTTTTTTGTCATAAGAATTCTATTTTTTTTCTCAATGATTAAACAAAATAATTACATCTTTTTCTTGTTTTACGGATTTACAACAATTTTCTTGGAAATTTATGCTTAAATAAAACATCCTGCCTCTCAGAGATTGTCTTAATATGTTACATAATGCATGCTTTTACATATTTCAATCTATTTATTATAAGAATTTTTCAGTCTTTAGATGAGTGCAGGAATTTTCTGAGACATTTTGTATTGAATCGTGTGTAAAAATAGTGAATTCTCAAATTTTTGCAGGTTGTTTTCAAGAATGGCCCATTGTATTACTTTGAGAATTAAATGTACGTAAATACAAAAACCGTTAACAAGAAAAAAATGCTACCATTTTAAATTACCACGATTATTATCCAAAAAAGTATGTGATGTACACTACTCGCTGTCCAAATTTCATCTCCCATCTACAGTTAAACATCTTATAGTCTACTACCTCTAGGAAGAGCCATAAATAAAAATGGTGACTCTGCAACAAAGAAGGCATTTCCTGTTCTGCAGTTTGTAAATTCAATATCACTTGTCATCGTGCATGCAAACAATTTGCAGGAACTGTAGAATTGTGGCTGACATGCAGGGAGCAACGACAAATATACCATAGCAGGCATAGGAAGAATTCGAATATCCGTCAAAATGCATGCTGTGGGGCACAAGATGCAGGAGTTGAGGAATTGTTATGGGCAGTGATGTGAAACTTAGACATTTTTCAATGTTCTAATGTACACTATGATGTTTTAAGATAATAATTAATACAATTACAATTTAAAATGGTAACAAACCATTATATAACAGCAAAGGCTCCATATTCACATTTTGAATATACACAATTTTGTATTTGCAATCATTTTTCATATTTCTGATACCAAAATTTGGAGAAAGATTAAGGAAAATAATGACAATGAATAAGAAAAGACAATTAAATGATATTTAATATACACTCATTGACATAAAAATTAGTGCACCAAGAAGTTGTCGTCGTATTGCTGCGAAACTTGGCATGATGAAAAGTTTCAAGCAGTTATGGAAATGATTCAAGTTATAGTGTGATGGCTCATTGCGTAATGTCAGCATATGGTGTTAAACTGTGTCCCCCTTGGCCTATTAAAAAATAAATGGAACCTCTGCACCCACAACCTGTTAAAAGTGAAAAGATTGTGTATAATGATACACTGTTTGACTGTATGTTTAATTGAACAAACAAATACAAAGGCATGGAATTGTGCTGAGAATTCCATGCCTTTTGATGATGCAGGAGGAATGATAGTTGAGCTTGTTGTCTTCGTCACTGCTTTCTAGACTTCAATAACATAAAGAAATGGTTTTTTGCAGCTTCCATGAAAGCATTAAATTACGAGAAACAATTTGAAAATGTTTTATTTCTTGAATTCAAATATTCTGTTCTCTATAAATGATATTGCCTGAAGAGGACAGTTATATACTGTTAAAAATGCTAGCGAAATAAATCTTTTTCATTAACACCTATAGACAGTTGTGCGACAGCTTTTTGTATTAGTATTTGGTGTATTTTGTATATTGTAAAGTTTTATTTCTTTGAATTGTCTTTCTAATCAAATGAGATTGCATTTAATTCAATTTAATATCACAAAATATTTTCAAAGGAATCAGATTAGAGTGAAAAGCATAATTTAAAATAATTTTACCTGACAATTCTTTTGAGAAAGATATAGGAGAAGAATTGTTTTCTACTCTGGAAATTTTCATTTTATCTAATTCTTGTTCTTTAGGCTTTGAATAATCTTTAGTTTCTGCCCATAATCTTTGTTCTCTTTTCAATCTGATAACGTCATTAAGGAGAAAATTAGCATTAACCAAAATAAAATAAGCTTCCTGTTCAAATATTTACCTTTCTTGTTCGAGTAAAACATTAGGAGACGAAAGTCCCATATGCGGAGTGATTAATTCTGAAGGATAAGTACCGGTGTGATAAAATGCCGTGTGAGGATGAGGAATGAGGTTCGGTGCCGAAGGAAAGTGCATCATCGGTGTTCTCAGAAGACCATATCTTTCTAAATAAAATGCATCTTCTAACCTATATAAAAATAGTAAAATACATGACATACATATATTTATTATAATTTCTGTTATATTATAAGATCTTTATTATGCTTCCTTCAATTAATTAAACTACAATATAATTTACCTGTAAGTATGAGAAGAGACTTGTGGCGACGATATAAAATTTGTAGGATATGCATATGGAGTGTCATATAATGAAAACTGCGAAGAGATATGTTGTCTCTCTTCCATTAACCTATATGGTTGAAACCCTCTCCCCGAAGAAGCATTCTCAGTCGTCGTCGTCGACGAAGACGAAGGTACAGACATCGACGTCCTATATTATTAATATACAAGAATTTATTTATGTTATTAATATTGTAAAAATAATTACTAAAGAAAGGCCTATTGAGAAAATCAAATAAAAACAATATTCTTATCAATGTAGGGTGATGTCTACTTCATTCTCTGTTAGAGAAATTATTAGAAGTACAGGTATGTGCTGTTAAGGATTTTCCATTTGGGAAAAGTCAAGACATTTTCGACTCGTAACAAACCAGTCAAACGATCGCCAAAAGGGGACAAACCGGCAGTTCGTATCTACTTTGTAGAGGCTCGTATGCCAATGTAAACCTAGCATTAATATAATTTTTCATTAATTTCAATCTTTTAATTGTTTATTAGAAGCAATTTCATTTGACAACACATCAATCAATGAAATTAACATGAATGTGTTTTTTGTCCAATAAACACAGAATTTACACTTCAAATTATTTTAATGACAGTTTAGAGTTTAAATTATTAATAACGAATGATGGAGCAATTTAATTAAGTAAATTAGCCCTTAACGACAACTGTTATATTCCAAGCATTCTCCAAAGATTCTGCATTCCTGTAATGTATTGATTATGGAGAGTCTTTCGTTTTTCTTTCAGAATCTTTTGGTTTTGTGTCTAGATATTCCTTGTATTCATACTTTTGCAGAAGAGTTAATCTGTTTAATAACTTAAATTCACCACACCAGGATGAATATATAAAAAGGGAGCGACTCACAATAACCAATTAATTGGAGTGCAAAAGATCAATATTTGTGAATGTTTTCAAAGCTCCTTCTAGGCTCTTCCTCAGGCTTCTTTATTTATTCCAAACAAGCTGGCCGTTAGCCTTCGAATATCTATTGAATGATATTCAATTTGGGATACGATACATGCATGCGTTCCAAGATGTTTAAATAATATCAAACAATACAATGAGTTCGAATGTGCATGCGTTCCACTTTCAATATGATTGCAAATTAAATATTATTGTCTAGTAGGACCTGCCACTCCATCAAAAGTCACATCTCTTTAAAATTAATGCAGGTGATTCTGTATCCTGCCTTAAAAATTTCAATCACCTCCAATTTGAGGTGTTCTGTTTAATTAATGTTACCTGTTTCACACTACACAAGTATCCTTTTGCATTGCAAAGCAGGCTAGTACCATTGTACATTTTTGTATTACAGCTGTCCCTTGATAATCCAACAGGTATGGAACCAAAGGGGTGTCCGGATTACCGAAAGTGATTACATATTTGGCATTGTTTTGCTAGCAGTAGCCTACAACTGTTCAAACAGAACTGCTCACGGAAAACACACGAAATGTGTGCATCGTGTAAGAATTGGGTGGGGAGATTCACGTTGCGACATGCTTCTGTGCAAGCAGACGCGTAACGGGGACGGATACCTTGACAGGAGATGCGTTGGACTATTGAGCATGTCGGATTACAAAACGTCGGACTATCAAGGGACAGCTGTATTTCTAAAATTCCTGAATGTTTATCCTACAGAGATAGTGCTAAGACCCAGGAGACATTTTTAGTCGATATCCTATTAATATCTGACTGAAACAGTTTGTCCAGAGGGTGCTTACAACAGCATATGTTTCTTTAAAAGACCAGTTCATTTTCATTACATATAGGCAATCTTATATAAAGAAATCTCAACACTTCAAAGTGTGTAAATTTAGTGTCATCAAGCTTTCTTTTTTTGGGAACCGTAGCCATCAATACATCATTGGAACCAAACCTGTCGACGAAATTACTTATAACAGGCCATCCGTACTCGTGCTCAGCCGTGACATTCTTAATTCTATTTTGTTCCAAACTGTTATAAGGAATGGTGTTATAAGCAACAGGAAATCCAGCTAGTACTGTTGTTTATCTCCATCTAGAGCTGGCTCCGATTAGTGTCAAAGCTGTACAGACTATAAAATGTGACCAAACTTGACAGACTCGGTACTAATTTATTGTCTGTTTTAAATTTTCCAAAGTGTCCCATGCCAATAGGAATGTAAATAATTTTGTCCCGGTGCAAGAGGCTATCAATTAGCAGTAATTTTATGTCTTTTCTTTATCTTTGGCTCTCTCATTGCTTCCTAGTAACAGCAATAGAGTTTTCTAAAAACCTTTTGTTCCAAGAATGGCAGTTTGATAAGATTTATAGTTGAGGAACTTCCTTATAGGTGTGTTAAACTAAAAGTAAAAGTTCCAGATAGTTAGCACTTGTTAGTTAAAGATAATTTTTTCTATTTTAAAATGTAACTAATGTTCTCATCTCTATGTGGTTATACAGAACAGATAGGTGAAAAGTTAAACCTTCTGTAAGCGTTAATTGTATAAAATTTGAATTGATTAATTACTCGTAAAATATACACTGCCTTTGACAAATGCACAAATGCTAACGTCCCCTATTGGACTTTTACATGGAGCCATTCAAATGTCTCATCGATTAACATTAAGATAGTTTTAAAAATTAATCACCATCCTCTGAAAAAATTCAATCACAAGTTAAAAATCCTTAATAAAATTACAGTAGAGTCTCGAAAGCTCAGCCTAATGTGGACTGAAGGGTGGCCAAGTTTGTGAAAATGCCGGGTTATCGGGAATGGGGTTAAAAAAGGATAAGTATGCGTGTTTCCTCAGAAAATACTGTACTGTACTTGTATGTATTGTTTGCTTAAGAATACAACAGAGAATAAACTGCCCAAATACCCTTAAACAAAGGAAAAGCACGTACTTTATGAAGGCATAGAGCCATTACTACATGAAAATGAAAATTAATGAATACATAGCGTAAAGTAATTTATCTGATAAGACAGACCTCAGAAAAATACTTAATAAAACATAAATCTGTCTACAATGAAAATTAACTAGGAGTTTTTTCGCCCTGCCAGGGATTGGCCGAGTTATCCGGACTGCCGGGCTATTGAGTGCCAAGTTTTCGGGACTCTACTGTAATAATAATAAAAATTAATCATTAAATAAATGATAATAAAATTACAAATTATAAAATTGTTTAAATTAAAGCGAATAATGCATGACTGAAAATGTAGTAAGTTGCCGTTCCATTTTTAAAACACTATTCTATTAATGTTTACCCGAAGAATGCTATTAAACGGGGGTCAAAAATGTTAATTTATGTTTCAATTAAACAAATTTCACCAAAAGTTAATGGTGCTGTTTAAATTAAATTAGATCTTTGCTTAGTTAGTAAAATATTAGGACAGAAATCTACCAGTTTCGATCCTGAGAACAGCAATATGGCATACAATCTTTCGTTTTATTCCCGTCACAAAACAGCCTGTAAACCTAGATTAGATATAATGATACTATATTTAAGCAATAGATTTTTTTTAAAGCCAAAAAAATCTGAATTTTAAATCGAATTTCGATTTTAAGTATGTTTACTGAAATTATCGGATTTTTATCGGAATGAGATAACGAAGACAAATATTGCCTAACCTGGAATTATTTTTATTTCTCTCGATAAATATAGATTGAAGAATATTTAAATTATCGATACAATATATTCTTTCCTTCCCGTCTGTTTATAATTACCAGCAATTGTCAACTTTATGGATCCCTGATATAACCGATTTTGGGAACGAAGGCATCTGTAAGAGATTTCTTGTAATATAACAAAATAAATGATTTATGCTGTTTTATTCATTTGTTTTTTTCATTTTGGACTTTTTCCGTCCCTGGAGTGCTAAGAGGGCCTTTTTTAAATTGTACCCACCGTGGGTTCAGCCGAGCCTGCAATGGAGGTGGTCGGGCAGCAAGAGGCGGAGTCCGACACGTCCAATACAGAAAAATTCCTGGGGTTTTCCGACCACTTGGATTCGACCCTGGGTCCCCTGGATTGGTAGACTGATGCGGTAACTGCATCGGCCATCCAGTCTAAATGCACTCCTTAAATTTAAAAACGGTCCTTTATTTTGCAATTTTTATAATAATTAATGTAGAAATACAGGGTCCTTCAAAATGAATGTTACCATTTTAAATTACCATAATTATATTAATTATTAATTAACAAAAATATCATTCTGTATATGTAGCTGTATTCCATTTACTTAATAAATTACATCAGTTCTGTGGCATTTGTCATATCGCACACAGATATGTAAATCTCAGATAATTTGAAATTTGAAGTCACAAATATTTTCTCCCCTGAATTTCAAATTAATGAGGATTTCCTGTAATTTCTTTTCTTTATAAACATAACAAAAATGACCAAAAAACTAAAGAACAGATTGTAGTTTTTCTTTGTTATTTTTGAAACCATAAATCCATTGTTTATTACAATTTAATAGTTTATCAATGTTCATATAATAATACTAAATTAATAAATAAAATAAGTTTTTATTACATACATAATGTGAGCAGATGACGTTAATTCTTTGGTCCCAATATAGCGTTCTTCCCATTTTCCCGAATACAACGGGTGATTAAATGAACCATACTTTCCTCTTAATGAATCTGGCAACTGATTGTTGTTTGTTGTAGCTAGAGAAAATGCAGACGAATCTATTCCCTTAAAAAAAAAAAAAAAAAAAACAATAATAATAATAAAGAATTATATTTATGACACAAGTTAATTGCAGATATAAAATTTATTGGCTTTTTAGTTTTATTTTTAAGGCAATATAATCAGTGATTAAAATACCATAAAATATTTTATATCTATTTAAAAAGACAATATGAAAATTACCTTTTTGCTTCCTCCATTATGGTACGGAAGTGAAGTGGAAGTGACAGAAGAAGAAGAGTTGTTAGAAAAAGTACCTTGCTGACTGTTTAAGTACATTTGAGGCATTACGGCAGTTTGATTTACAACGGAATTTGTCGAGAGAAGACCATTTTCTAAATGAGAATATTTATAAAAAATTTTAAACATTCTTAATTTGTCAAACTTTAAATTAAATTTATATTATCGGAAAAGAATTTTTATTCTTTTAAAATCATCTAATCAGCTCCATTTTTTAAAAATGAGACATTCATTTTAAACTACACAACAGTGGCCAAACTATGGTTTACGATCCACATGTGGTTCATCTAGGCCCTTATTGTGGCTCCTGCATACTTGTACAATTGTTTTTTATAAATTTGGTACATACTACTTACACATATGTAATATTTTTGTAAGTTTTCTGGCTATTAAGTAGCGTAATATACACAGGGATCATAAGTGTAACTCGCGACTTAACCTTGAACAGGTAAGCTTAAAGTACATTAATAATGTCAAAGGATTTAAATGATTGTTTACCCAGTCAGTCATAAAGTATCAGTAAGGTAAAGTAGCAGTAATATTTACTGTAGAACAATGGTAACTATAGTATTTTAACTACATATATCATATAAGTAGATGATGCAGCTCTACTCTAGACGTTCCAATAGAGGATTAGACTCGTGTATTTCTGACAGACAGCGTATGGTTACTATCGTGACAAGGTTTGGCCACCCCTTGCTACATAAAATAATTAAGAAATTACTCAAAAGAATATTTTTACATTGATTTTATAAATCCTTTTTCTACAGATAATGCTTGTATTATAATTGAATTGGGATAAAATTAACTGTGAATGTATAATTTTCAAACATTTTATTATTAATTCTAGGAGAACGTCTCATTGTCGAGCAGCTAAGCAAGTAAACCAATGACATAGATCGTTTTATACAAAACAACCTACATCATTGACTTGCTTACTCGGCCACTCAACAAGGGAACACGTCCCAGGTTAAATAGACAAAAGCAGTACTTTTTTATTTAGAAAAATAATCTTAAATCTACCTAAAATATTGTAATAAGTATCAAAAAACAATTTAATTTAGTATTTTAAAAAGATCCTTCCGAATAAATGTTAAGAGTATTTGAAAATTAAATATTTGCACGATAAATATGTGTGAATATAGTCAATGTGTGCTGTCTATTGTATATTCTTACCCGTAGAAGGGGGTTCTCCTGCCTGTTTGGCTAATTTCCGAAGAGCTGCAGCAAAACTTGATGTCTGATGAGAATTGAGCATAGGATTATTGTACGGAGACATCACGGCGCTTGGCTGATGGGCAACTTGAAGCGGTGATATCGGAGCCATCGTCCGAGTGGAAGGTTTGTGAGAGTTGAACGACTGCATTGCTAGAGATGTTGACGGAGGTAATAATGATTTACATCCATGGGGGAATCCTGCAAAATAAAAACAAATTCTTTTAATACCCACGCATAATTTAATATTAAAAATTCTTTTGGAATATCTAGTGATAAAATTAATAAAATATTTGTATTTTAACATGAAAACAGCACTTGTAACAAACGACGTATGTTATCTCGTTCATAATTTTATTTTTACTTTGTATAAACATTATAAATTATGACTCTAAGTTTTATAAATCTAAATACAGAGGCCCTCGATTAATGGATTTCAGATTTAACAGACAATCTTTGTCCTAAAAGAAATATTTATTATAACCTTTTTTTTAATTTGCATATAGAACAAACTAAAAGATGAGTCAATGCATGTAAATTACTCAATGTATATATTTTATTCATATTTATACATTATAACAGCATTTTAATATATTCTGCAAATTGTAAATTTGTTATTAACAGCCTTTCGGTAACAGCAAATGCCAGTTCTCCTTAATTACTTTGTTAAATCAAGGTCCAGTAGTGCCGCAGACAAAAAGGGGGCACAAGCTATAAAAAAAAGAGCATGCAAGGAGCTTCAAACTCTACGATTCGATGTCAGATCGGCTTCCACTAAGTGGTTGTACTCGGGGCTAACTTGACCTCGAAAGCAAAGAATGGAGTTTTGATCAACATATGACGAAGTTGCATAGGTTGGTGGACAAATATCATTCACTATTTTCTTTTATATTTGCAGAATAGGCTAGATGTCACAAATTTTCTGTTATTTGGGACACCCTTAAGAATTAGGAAAAAGATAACCAAGACAAAAAGGAAGCATGTACCCTAATATATGGGCATCACTGCCCTATTGCATATGTATATGATAATTACAAAAACAAAACTGGATTTAGAAAAATCATTAGTTTTGCAAGTGAATATGCCAGGTATCCATTTTAAAACTCACCAACAGTACAGAATGCTTCCCTCGAGTGTCTCTAGTTTTAAACTATTCTGTAAAATCCATTTGTTCGGATATGTTGGTTCATACTCCAAGTTTCACACATGTACCCTTGAAAGGGCCACTGCTGCCACACAGTGTCAATTTGAAGCTCTGATGCTACGTGATCTGGATTGCTGGGGCCCGATTTCTTGGTCTGCCCAATCACACGATATTGTATCTTTGAACTTTTTCTTTTTGGATATATCAAGGATTGTGTGTATGCTACAAATGTGCCAGATGTAAGTGTTCTGCATACAAGAACCTGGAATGTCATTAAAAACATAACTCCTAATATGCTAATTATATTAGAATGCAGCATGCATCCTAATGGAGTTCCACATTGGGAGCTTATTCCCTAGTCATGTGAAAATGTCGTAACTAACTTTTTCAGATGCACTTTCTATTACCATAATCTACAATACTACACATGTATTTCTTGCCTTGAAATTAATCCACACAACTAGGGACATCAAGGAAACAACCTATATATTACCAAATTAAAAAATTTTAGCTTAATAATCCATTACCATAGATACATACAGTCTTATCATATATGTTAAATGTAACAAATTTTAACATTTAGTACACATTTAACAATACATTTCATTCCAAATTTGAACAAATCAATGAATATTATATTTGAAAATAAATACTGTAAAGTCTATTAAACTAATTACAGTCAGACAAAAACTCGATTGCCATTTTTTTTTATTTTTATTTAGTTTCTTAAACACAATTATAACTGCCTGACACAATCAATTGCCTCGGGGTCTAAATAATTACAAGGAACGCTCGACGCCGGAAATGCAGACCCATTCCGCCCGAGGCCAAGAAGTACTCATTCCGCCACGTCTAAAATACTTTTCGGCCAACGGCCGGCACGGGGTAAACAATATCCGACGACACCATCGAGCCGGTCGCCAAAAAATCAATGCAGCCAGATTTACCCCGAAAACTGCCGAGAAAGAAGTGTTACGGAATGAATAACAATTGCCAATTTATCAAGACAATGGCATATTTGTAAGCATCTCGCCGGGTCGAAGGAGACGCCCGGCTAAACAGAAAACAAATTCGGGATCCTCGATGCCTCGGCCCCTCTCCTCTCGGCACGGACGCAAAACCTCGGCGAGGGGTCCATCAGTCGGAGGAGGAATTCTCGTTATGTTCTTCCTATTAATTTTTCAGGGGCGGAAATACATCTCGATTGCCGGAAAGGCAAGTCAAGTCGCCCACCGTCCCGGAGTGGCTTTCTCTGTTTAGAGAGAGATGGGAAGAGAAGCAGCTGTTTATTGAATGCTGAAGGGAGAAAACCAATAACAGAGATTGGTAAAGGAGGAAAAAATAAAATGGCGGAGGGACAGCGCCCCCCCCGGCAGTCATCGTCAACTACTTGACCATCGGCGACAGGAAACATTTGCCGTGCCCTCCACGCTCCGTTGCTTCAGATAACTCTTACGATACTCCTCCTTATTTGTCGAATAATTCGTCTTCCTCTTTCCAATTCCAGCTTTTCGAATCGCTCGTTACCTGTTTCATTTTATTTTATTTTATTTGTTTTTGCTAACCGAGATTCGATCGTCTGTAAATTTCTGTCGTCTGCCTCGACTAGGGTCACGTGACGCTCCGTTATCGTCTGGTTTCCACATTTTTATTCAGAGGCGAATGGAGGTTTTATTTTTATAATACTTTTTCGTTGTTGGAGAATATAAGTATTTCTTTATATATAAATTAATTTCACAGTTGAGATTTAATTTTTCTAAGAGTTTTCTCGTCTGTCTCCATAAGGTCACGTGATATTCGGTCACATTGTTTTGGTTCATTTATTTATTATTTACTTTTTAATTTTTGGAAAAGCGCAAAAAATTTGAAAATTAGTGCAACGCTTTCTTATTTTTCGAGAAGATAAATATTTTAAAAATAAATTTAGTTTACAACATTTATTTTCCTTAATGTTTTTTCTGACTAGATGGAGTCACATGACATTCTACTTTAGTTTGGTTTTCCGGTTTTTTAAATTTTTAATTATTATTTTATGTAAAAAATTACCTTTGTAACACTTTTCGTTATTAAATAAATTTACTTTTTTAAATATTTATTTATGTTTTTTTAGATTTTCTTGTTAATTTTGCCGTAATATTTTGTTATCGTTTGCTTTTCACTTTGATTATTATTATTTTACATTTTTTGAACGAGGCGTAAAATATTATTTTTTAATAATTTTTCACTGCAGCAAAAGCTAAAGTATTATTTTTTTAAAAAAGAATAACTTTATCTCATAATAGAAATTTATTTGTCCGAGAATTTTGTCGTGTAACTCGGAAGAGTCACGTGATATCCGATTATTGTTTTGACTTTTTAATCTTTTGTTTTGGGTATAGCGTAACGGCTTTATTTTATAAAGATTTTTCAGTGTCACAAAATTAAAAAACTTTTTAAATAAATTTCTTTTTTCCGTTGACATTTGAATGTTGATTTTGTCACCTCGGCAGGGTCACGTAATAAAATTAAAGCAGAAAGCACGCGATAAACGACTACTTTAATTTCAGAACAAAGCTAAAGATTAATAATAAATAACTGTTATGAAGTAAAGAGTCGAAATAATTTTTGAATAAATTCATTTTTTTAAGTCAAGATTCATCACGTGCAGTTTTAGTCCCACTATACGGATCACGTGACGTTTGATTCGTCTCGCTTGGTCACGTGACGTATCGTCTGATTTTTAACCGTCTTTTATTGCAAATTATTTTTTCGGGCGAAGTCTAAAGAAATTGTTTAATAATAAAACTCTTTCATTGTTACAGAGTCGAATTATTTTATAAGAAAAATAAACAAATTATAGAGGTCGTCGTTTAATTACAGGAAACCGCGATTTTTCTATCGTCTGCTTTGCTCTTCGGTCACGTGAATTGATAAATTTGTGGAAAAATTCCCCACTCCAAACGATTTATTTTTCCATGGCATCGTCGATAAATAATTTTTAAATTATAAATATCGATTACTTTTACGTAATGTAATATTTCTCCTAATCACACGATGCGAGCATTAATTCTCGGGTCACGTGACTGGGGTGAATTATGTGTACAAACATCATAATTTTTCGTAAAAGTTCCGAGATTTGCATACGATTCTTTTAAAAGGAAATATTTTAAATTAAATTTTTATCGATCTCCAAACAAAACAGATATTATTTGCCTGACGTGACTATTCGCTAGGGATATATTTGCTTTACGAGTCGACTGATCTAACAAAAACCGGAAAAGTGCAATAAAACCTTTTCCCTCCCCTCCTCTAATTTTATCTTTTAAAAAATATCAATGATATTTTAATACACATTAATATCAAAATATTCAAAGCATTACATTGTAAATTCCTGTTAATTTTTAACTAAAATATCCCTAAATTCCGCTAAAATCCCTAAATTTTTAACTAAACTATGCCTATAAAAATTATTTAAATCTGTAATTTTCCTACACACAGATACAATTTTTTTTATGCTAAATATTAAACCTGAAATTTCCCTAATAATTTCTATTAGTGAGACAAGTAAATATGAAATTTCCCCGAATATTTTTTAATCGTGCAATTTCTTAAAATTTAAATTTTTATTTTAATATAAAAATAATCTTTAAATTATATAATAAAACAGTCATTGATTATAAAAATAAAGTGAATTTCTTATTTTTCACGAATTATCAGGAAAACAGGGAAATTTCCTTAGCCATTTTATTTTATTTATTTTTTCCTAATTCCACAAAAATCAACAGAATTTTCCGGTTAAATTCAAAATTTTCAAATTATTACATTTTAAATAGCATTATTCCTTATAATATTATTAAGTTCTTGTTTTGAAAATANTTTTTTGAAAATTTTTAGGATATTTTAAACACCGATAAGTGTTTTTTGCTGGTGTACTTCATAATAAATTCATTCGAAACATTAGAGTTTTGAAGTAGGTTCAATTGAAATAGAGCTCTTAAAGAGCATTTCCCCCATTTTTTCACAGTAAACCTCTTAACGTGATTAAACCCACCTTTTAACGTGATTCGGTAACATTTCTTCAGTGGGAAGGCATTCTTAAAAGTTCCAAATTATCCCTATACAGATGACACAATTCCAATGAATGCTTCTTTCAACGATATCACTTCCTTAAACTGTTTTCTACAGCGAAGTAGAGTAGAAAAAATCAGCATATCATTAACATAAATCTCAATTTATTTGTAGTAATAATTCTCGAATTATCGAAAAATTAGGGAAATTCCCTTGCCATCTTTATTCTAATTATATTTTAAAAAATCGATAAAATTCGAATTTATGTTAATAATTTGTAATAATGATTTTAAAAACTTAGTATTTTAAACTAAAATATCCGTAAATTCTCCATACAAATAAGAAATTTCCCTATTAAAGAAATAAAGTAAATAAATCTGAAATTTCCCTACTCGTGAGGGAAATTCCCAGAAATACATTTGAAATAATAGTATATAAACCATACATTTTCTTAAAGTTAAATTAAAATTAACTGAAAATAAGACTTCACTGTTTGTATTAACCGCGAATTATTTATTTAAACCTTGACGAGTTATCAAGGAATTAGGGAATTTTCTGGAAGATTTTATTATTTTTTTCCATGGGCTAGTGGCCGATTAATTCGCTCATAAAAAGGGGAGCTTTTCTTCGCTCAGGTAAACACGATGACGTAACGGAGGATGTATTTATAGCCTTTGTGTACATTGACACACAGAACAATGATCTAGTGTAGCTTCACTTCATAGTTTTTTTTTTTTCCTTGCAACAGTCGAATGATTACTCACACATCCCACGTGGTCGCCATTGAACGTTAGGGGGAAACGTCGTTCCACGTGTTAATGTTTACTTTAAAAGTTTCCTTAAATGTATAATACGTATATTTTAAAGCATAAAGAATCGATTATAATGTGTTATAGTCGAAGACGGTTGTTTTATTATTCGATAATAAAGAATTCAAGCTGAGTGAATGGCGTATACCAACGAAAGGACGTTGATATCGATCAATGGCGTGTTTAATTAAAGGTGTTTAATATTCAATAATAAAAAGATTAAAGTTAAATGGAGAACTTTATCCTTTATAAAAACCATCAGTTGTCGAGGAAGTCAGGTTTACTCGGGTTTATACGGAATAAAAAACGAGCTGATGAACACCGAAGCCGATAGCTATCGCGCCATTATAATTGATGTTTAACTATTATTAAAGACACGTTTCTTAGTGTTTTTGTTATAGGCTCAACAGGTTTAGCATCGTAGCAAGCGTGTGTACGATTTGAATTTAGATTTGTGGCCTTAAGCTATGGCAGGCCTTTCACCTTTATCCGAATTGTAATAAGTTAAGGCGTGAGGCCCTACGCTGTGTTCTCGCACGGCTGTATTGTTCAGGCTGTGTGAATCCAACTCTGCGCATGTATAAATGATAAATGTAAGCAGATTTGTTGTGGTTCTAAACTATAATAGTCCTTTCCCCTCTACCAAATAACGATACACGTAAAAATTCGAGGCCCTAAGTTCCTGCATGTTTAGATTGTGTGAAAATCCCTGACTATCAGGAATGCCTAGAGGGAGGTTAAAGGAGAAAAAAGTCTTACAACGGAAGGAAGTAGGGGCCTCTATACAATACTCTTTCATTTCTTTTACTTTAATATAATAACTTAATTTATTGCAGGGCATGTAATATGTATTTTGCCCCAGGCCCCTAAACTCTCCGGGCGCCCCTGCTGGACTGTATAAACTCAGACTGTACAGAAACGTGTGAAAAAAAAACATATATACAGTATATATATTAAAATATCTATCCAACGTTAATTAGTTTTACTTAATTTCTAAAATGGCGAAAATAAAATGTTAAAAACCTCAGTTAAACCCTATTTATAAGCCCCAATAATTTTCTGGGTAAACAACATTAAAGTTATTAAAGAGTCAATGGAACTTATTCATAAATATTTTTTTGAAAAATTTAACAAAATGTGCGGCCAGATTTTAACTTTAAAAAAGGATTGTATTGTTTCTATTTTTAACTATTTCCGCGATTACTAGACAAAGAATAAAAGGGGGGAAAATGAATAAAAATGAAGGAGGAACGATGAGAAAAATAAAATATGACGTTGAGCTACGTAAAGTTTTTGCGTTGTCAGTAGACCCACATACGACAGGTATACATACAGTACATTTGTAAGTTTTCGGGATTTGTTAACCCACACGAAACCTTTCAAAATTCAACTGCACAACTAATCTAACGTTTATGCATTCGTCAGAGAAGTCGGAAAGGCTATAAAAATTTATATAGCTTGAGTTAATGTTTAATCTGTGGACAGGGAATAAGGAAAAAACATCAGCATTTATAAACAATCGAAAAATAACGGATGAATCACTAAGTGATGATTAAGTAAGTAACGAAGCGAAAAGGAACAGGACTTATAATGAGAGAGAGGAAAAGTATGCTTTTTCCAGTAGAAATTGCTACGTCATACATTAATTTTTTGAAAATTTTTAGGATATTTTAAACACCGATAAGTGTTTTTTGCTGGTGTACTTCATAATAAATTCATTCGAAACATTAGAGTTTTGAAGTAGGTTCAATTGAAATAGAGCTCTTAAAGAGCATTTCCCCCATTTTTTCACAGTAAACCTCTTAACGTGATTAAACCCACCTTTTAACGTGATTCGGTAACATTTCTTCAGTGGGAAAGCATTCTTAAAAGTTCCAAATTATCCCTATACAGATGACACAGTTCCAATGAATGCTTCTTTCAACGATATCACTTCCTTAAACTGTTTTCTACAGTGAAGTAGAGTTGTGTTAGTGACTTAGGCTTTCGTTATCACCGCAAACAATGATAAATAAAGCATTGGCACCAATAGAATGACTCCTAGACTGACGTCATTAGATAAAATATTTCCTTCAATGATGTTATTTTGGAAGA